TTATTGAGTTCTCGGTCATTTATCTATGCCTATTAAATTTTTTTTATTTATGTGTTAAATTGCGCTTCACATGAAAAAAGCACGCGTTTCGCTTCTCGCTTCTCGCTTCGGTGAAGCGAGGCCTCCTTGCTTTTTTCCGCTTCTCGCTCTCCAAAACACCGGCTCCACCCTCTGGACCCTTTCTCTTTTTCTGTTGTAGTAAATCAGTCCCCTCCGGAAGAGAAACCTAATCAGCTTTCTTTTTTGCATCAATTTGAATGGATGATTTTTTTCTTTCAGCTTGTTCATGCTCCGTCTTCAAAGCCCTTAATATTTCACCACTGATTTCTGGGCACATTTGAACTCCATGGTTTGGTAGTTTCAAGAGATGTGCTTTTACTCTGTTATATGATCCCGTAAATCTTTTATTGCAATAGTTACAGATCCATGCTCTGTTTCCACCACTATTAGCAGCTGAAACAACTTTAACCTGATTCCATAGTGGTTTATCATCAAAATCTATGCCTACGGTTTTTGTTGGTCTCATAAGACTCTTTCCCTCTTTCCCTTTTGACTTCCAGATGATGCCATATCCTCTTTCCCGTTTCGACGGATGAAAGATGGAAGATTTTGTGTGTTGTGATTTTTTTCTTGCTGTGGAACAGAGAACTAAAACGAGGCAGAGAGTGAGAAATTAGTATATTTGTGTAATTTGTCTCTATATTTGGTATTTGGAAGGAAAGGTGGACGAAAAGACCTTTCGGTGGAGGAAAAGACTTGGCTGACAAAGTACAACTAATTTACCTTTTAATTGGCAAATCAAAAGCATCAGATGGACTTTTTGGCCAAGAATTGCCTTTTTAACGTTATATTTCTAGCATAGTACAAGCTAGCATTAAATGAGCTTTGTACCAAGTACCAACATTATTTTATTATTTTAATTTGAAATTTTTGTTAGTTAATTAACTATTACTATTAATTAGTATTAACTATTATTAATAATAATTAACTATTATTAATTATTTTATTATTTTAATTTGAAATTATATTTAAAACTATATAACCTTAATTATTATTTAACTATATTTCAAGTATTTCGATAGTTCAGAACTTATACTAATAGGAATGATCAAACGATCTAATAAAATGGGATCCCTAATATAATCGTGTATATGATTTGTTATCGAATAAATTAGTGATTTTTCCAAAAACTATATAACCTTAACTATTATTTAACTATATTGCAAGTATTTTGATAGTTCAGAACTTGTACTGATAGGAATGATCAAACGATCTAATAAGATGGGATCCCTAATATAATAGTGTATATGATTTGTTATCGAATAAATTAGTGATTTTTCCAAAAACTATATAACCTTAATTATTATTTAACTATATTTCAAGTATTTCGATAGTTCAGAACTTGTACCGATAGGAATGATCAAACGATCTAATAAAATGGGATCCCTAATATAATCGTGTATATGATTTGTTATCGAATAAATTAGTGATTTTTCCAAAAACTATATAACCTTAACTATTATTTAACTATATTTCAAGTATTTTGATAGTTCAGAACTTGTACTGATAGGAATGATCAAACGATCTAATAAGATGGGATCCCTAATATAATAGTGTATATGATTTGTTATCGATTAAATTAGTGATTTTTCCTAAAACTATATAACCTTAACTATTATTTAACTATATTTCAAGTATTTCGATAGTTCAGAACTTGTACTGATAGGAATGATCAAACGATCTTATAAGATGGGTTCCTACCAAACAGACAATTACATTTCAAATATTTCGATAACTGTAACTATTATTAATTATATTTCAAGTATTTCGACAGTTCAGAAGTAATAACAAGACGGGATCCCCAACAAGTCTAGTTAAATAATGTGATTTTTCCAAAATTATATAACTTTAACTATTATTTAATTATATTTCAAGTATTTCGATCATTCTGAACTTGTACTGATAGGAAACGATTTAAGAAAACGGGATCGCTAATATAATAGTTAGCTTTTTCTACAATTTAGTTATTCACAATTTCCCTCAATTGGTGGTTACACGTTGGTCACATGTTTAATTTAATTTGAGAATTTAAACTTCAACATCAAAGTTAGACGATATAACTTATAAATTATGTCAATATCTATTACTTCTTCTATCCTATATAATATTTTTTATTTTTCGAGATTCAAACGTCCTAATTTTGATTGTACATTTGGACATAGAATCTTTTAGTTTTTCGAAATAAAAATTACATATTTGAAAATTATACAATACTACTAAGTTACGATAAATTATGTACAACTAGTAAATAATTTCGTATAAATTAATTTTGCACGATTAAAATATATAAATTATTTAGCAAAAAATCAACATGCTAATAATTAATTTAGAAATTATTCCTATATTGTATGAGAAAGAAACATTTGCAAATAGCAACCTTTCAATTACGTGTCACAAGTATGGAGAAGAAAGGGGACAAGTAGCATATAATGGAGAATAAAGGGGTTATTTTATTATATTATTACAATTAAGAGTCCTTTAAGAAGGAGCTGCAGATCGTCTCTTCTAGGTCATCTTCCTCAAAATTCCCCAACTTCTTTCAAGCTCTTACAGATGCTCAAAATTCCCCTACTTCTTTCAAGCTCTTACAGATCGCCATTCACGCTTCGTTCACGTCCCTTCGTTCTTCCCTCATAAGAGAAAAAGAAAGTCATTCAACGCAAAGTTCCATCTATGTCTACAAGAAGTCCAAAATCAGAACATGACCCCTTGAATTCTTGGTTTCTCTGACACACAAAGCAGCAAATATGAGACAAAAATACTACAATATTGAAGGTATGCCATTTTCCATAACTTAAATCTGTTTAATTTTTGATTTTGAGAAATCAAAATCTCAATTTTTCTCCCAAATTTGTCGATGGACTCCGGTCAAAGTGTCAGAAGTCGGTTGACCGAATCCGGGACGTATCCCGTCCCCGTCACCGTTGCGTATCGGGACGGGGACGGCACCAAAATCGAAGAGTCTCCGCAACTTAGCCTAAAACCATATAAGGATACAAACAACCACCCCTCAGCCAATATGAGACAACTTAACATAGAAAAGAGATGATATTTTAGTTTTTAGCCACGGGAGAGAAGGTATCCCAATGGTCAAGCCTAAATATCTGAGTGTAACCTTTGGTTAGAAGGGGGAGGGGGTCTTAAGCCGATGAATTTGACCGTACGGACTAATTTTGACTGCATAAACCCACCAACAACCAATGATTGATTTAATCGAAGGTATATGATTGAGCTCCCAAGTACCATCATCGTGTAGAGCAGACATCTCTTTGATCATAGCCTGTCGCCATCCAGGATGAGAAACGCTTCACTCTTGTTGACTAGCTAGGTTGATTTAAGAAGATTTGATTTTATTTAGTAGCTTGATTTTATTTGATAGTTGTACTGATTGTATTGATTTATTCTATTTCTTTAATTAGCAATATGAGCTTTGTATAAATTTTCTTGCTCATGGGATATAAATTCTTACAGAAATATAAAAGAAGTCGCGGAGACATACCTACAAACAAAGAAAAGATGTTAATGGAAAAATAGGCCTCTCCAGTGCACTCCCTAAGTGTATCCCTAGCACTCAAGTTTCACTCATGTTTCACTTGTGTGCACTTGGCTTTTAGGCACGCTTAAATGATCTTTCCAACTCTTGCCTTTTACCACTCAAGGGATTCCCTTTAATCTCGTTAAGAACCAACAAGTAAGAGATCACCAAGTATGTTCCAAGTATCGGTTCGGAATTGAGTTAATGGCCAAATAAATAAGGACCAACAAAACTGTCGAGCTAGGAATTAAAGAAACATACAATGAAACAAAAGAGAAACTCACGAAAGAATAAGCACGAAGACAAATATGGACACAAAGTTAACTAGATAACACTAATATGAACTTATACTAATGTTAGACTGGAACAGGTATGGGTAGCCTTGGAATAGCATATCGATTTACAGAGATTTTCACAAAAAACAAGTCTTCTTTCAGCAGATTTTGAACTTCGCTGGAATCTTTATTCTGCTGGTCAGAATTTGTAAACTTGCAGATGCGTGAGGTCGGAAAGAGAGGAGAACGCTGAGAAACAAAAATCTGAAATGGAGGTGGTCAGAAAACTTCCCACGTGCTGGCGCATGGTGGGGCTTGACGCCAGAGATCATTCTGTCTGGTGGCACGTAAGATCGCATGAGCAGTCTGGTGGTGGCGTGACCTTTTAGGCAGTGTTGCACGGCGATCTGGTCCTAGTGACAGTGCTGGTTCATGTGCAGCACGAGTGGAAACCAATAAATATAGGCAAATTCAAGGTCGCTGAGAAAACAGTACACGACAAATGAAAATTTTCTATACGGACTTCGCTGATATATGCACAAGAAGAAATTTCTCGCATTTGCTTTGATACCATGTGAGCAAACAAGACATAGGAGAGAATTGAGAGAAGCTTTGCTTGATTGTTCCCTCAAGCTACTGAGTTTAAATAGTGAATGTACAAGTGTTAAAACAGGAAAGAAAATATTCTGACTACCTAATTACAGGAAAGAATTATTCTCGCTAATTCTGACTAATCCTAATCATTTAACCCGAAGAATGACCTTCATGCATGATGTCTTGAATCGTAATATTTTTGCTGTCATTTTCTAGTGTTGGTCATCAAGATGTAAATCTCATTCTAGAAATGACTTTTGGTTTGTGAAATGATATGTTTTAATGGAAAATGCTTCTTTTGGACTGATTAACTTGTCAAGAGAAATTGTGAGAATTTATTCTGGACATAAGATTGTTTTATCTCATAAGATCTCTTCTTTAACTTGAGAGGTACTTTAGAATTCCTGTCGATTGAAAATATAAACATTGTTTTCTTCGTAATTGGATTGATCTGCTATTGCAATTATGTTATGCTGATCTTGTGAAGAAACTAATGTGGATTTTGAAGTTGACTAATCTTTGACTAATTTATTTAGAAAGAAGCTGGCATTCCTAAAAAAGCCATCAAGGTTGAAGATATCCCCGGCTTGAGTAAGTTCTTTCTCTCTGTCCCTCCTTTTTTTAGCTTTTCTGGTGGGAGTGTAGAATTTCTAAACTCCGCTGTCAATTAGCATGATCTGTGTTGCTATAACCTGCCTTAGGCCCTGTTATTTTTGTGCTCCGAAGAATCTTAAATTTCTTATGTGAATTTGTTGTTGACATCATAATAGAGGAGGCTGGATGGACTCCTGATCAATATGGTCATTCTCGGTTCAAAACAGTGAACTCCTTGTCAGATCAGAAGTCCTTGACTGCATTCATGCGCTCTCTCCTGAAAGTAAATCTCTTGGTTTCCTTTTTCTGTTTCCTTCATATAGCTTGGTTGAATATCTACCTGAAACAACTTTTCTGGGTTTGATGAACATTTTGATGTCTATTGTTTTCAAATCATTAGAAAGAGACTAAACAAAACAGAGTATTTGTTAATAAGTACACTGAATATCAACCCAATCTTGATTTAAAAAAGAGAACTACAAGCAAATAACTCTTAACGACCTCTATTCCTGACGAGAATGAATGCTTTATCGTTATTGGCAATAATGTAATATTCTCCGATGAATCCACAAGGCATTGATATAAAATTAATTGATATACTACCCTGACATGCAATTAGCTAACCTCATTATCTGGAGGCAAAAAGAAAAATTAAGCATTTATTGCAGTTTTCTCTTGAAAGTGAAAAGAATCATCAAAAATATTATTTAAGATATTTTTATGGCTGGATGCATAGACAATCTCCTGTCAGTATTTTTTTATCTAGACACCTAACTAAGCCCATGACGTTTGAGCACCCGACATCTGTGCAAAACGTGCCTATTAGACATGTGGTGCCTATTTTCTTTTAAGTTTTCTATCCCAGTTCATTCTCTCATTATATGATCATCCCAATATTTTTTGTTTATAAAAAAACTACAATAACGCCCTCAACACTCAAAATTTAGAATCCTGCACAACTATTCCATTCTCATCGTTCTCACGAGCCCACCTCAAAATGCCCTGGAAGACCTTATAAGCCCACTAGAAACCTTCTTCACAAGCCATACCACTCCTTGCCAATCTTAAACAAGTCCAAGATCCCAATGAAGCTCATCTTCCATGATTTCAGCAAATAGGGTTCAAACATGATTATCCTACTTATTCTTGTCTTATATATAAGCTCGCAGCGTCGCGACACTTTTATGCTGTTGAAAACCTTTTTGGGTATATCCAAACCATTATATTCGACGTAGGGAAATGGTTTTATGTGGTTGACACAACATTACGGGAAAGCCAATTGGTTTGAAGCTTTTTAGCTTTTTCAATACCTGGGTTCTTTACTTGTTCATATAGTACACTGTCTTTAGTTGTGTTAGTTTACAGATATGTATAGTGTAGTCTTGTCCCACATTGGAAGAGGAGTAATATCTTCTTGTAGTGTATAGCTATAAATAGGGACATATTGTATTGTATTTATCATCCAATATCAATAATATATTTTCTCTCGTGCTTTCTCACAAGTTGCACTTCTCAAGGTTTTTGATAATAGTCATTCTGAAGCTGCGAATGAGATGTTAAGGAGCTGTTGTGAAGTTCTGTTTTGTTTTACATTATTATCAAGATGTGACAGCTAGCTTTTGAATGTTGGCGTCTGGTTTAATTGGTGGAAAGAGATGAGGAGGGGTTATCTTTTGGGAGAAGTCAAATGGATGAGGAGAGGGTTTCAAAAATAGAAATTTTTTCATGAGTCAAGTTCTTTTTTTGGTTTATTTGGAATCAAATGACACATTTCTTTTATTTTATTGGCTTCTTCACCATGTCACCTGCATGTAGTTCATTTTATCATTTTGATTGTTTCAGCGCCTCATGTCTGATAGGCACATTTTGAGTAGAGATTGGGTGCTCAATACGTCATGGGCTTGGTTTAGGTTCCTAAATGAAAAAACCGTACACGTTTAAGAGCTGTCTATGTGTGCAACGTCCTTTAATGTTTTGTTAGTCAAGAAGAAAATTATGAATATTATGTAAATATTCTTATTGAATAAGCATAATTAAGAATCCTAAGATTTAAGACACTTTACTAATTTTTGCAATTAAAAACTTCTATATAGTGAGTCCTCTTGTGATGCAAAATCAAGAAAGCTAATAGTCCAAGAAATTCAAGAAGTCCAAGAATCCATACAAGATTAGGATTTCTTTTCCTTAATGATTAAAATTTTGTATTTCTTGTTTCTTAGTAATTTAATTCTTGTTTTAGTAGGATTATATTTGTAGTTCTAGTCAAACTGAGATTGTTAGTTGGTATCCCATTCTTACTAGAATTCTTTTTCCTATTTTAGTTAGGATAGGCTTTCTTAGCCTTATTCTTATTCTAGTTTAATTAGGATTAGTTTTCCTTAACCTTATCAATTTTATTCATTGTAAGGCCTATTTAAAGGGCTCAATATGCTAAAAATAATGATTGGTGATTAGTTTTTTTGAGCACTAGCTTAAAAAACGTGATGGACTCTTTTGTTTCCTCTTCTTCCCTTATTCTACGCTTTTTGCAATCTTGTGGGATTGAAGAACGTGTGGGTGAAGTTTCTTTTCATCTTACATTCTTCTAATGTGAGATTGAAGAAACTTTTGCTAGTTATGTGAAAAACTTTAGCGGGGTGCTTTTGTTTTTCGCTCTTCTTTGTGCTTGAGAGGTGCAAAACCTTGAAAGTACATCAATTTAGTATCGGAGCGCAGATTCTAGGTTCGAATTCTTGACTTGCTATCTTATTCATCGTGTCACAATATAAGAAAATAGCAAATTCGTGACCCTCTTCAATGGATCTTCAATTAAAAATTCAGAAATTAAGAACAGTCCTTGAACGAGACAATGAAGAAATTAAATTGCAGCTAAAAAGCTTGACGTAATCAATAAGGCTTATGACTGAATTGGTTGAGGGTTTCGTGCTTCAATCACCACATAACATGCCAGTGCTACTGCCACATCTACCACTTCGGTATCCACCAATTCAACCGCATCGAGCAAGATATATTTAGTAAGTTGAAGAGGTTGAAGTTGACCAAGACATAAGCGTACCAATGCACCATGCCCAATATGATAAATAATCAGATAATCGAGGGAGTGAAGAGGACAAAACTGATGAAGACCAATATCAAAGAGACAAGGAACATGCATTGGATCCACAAGTTGAAGATTTACCACTAAAGTTTTATGATGATCCATTGGAGTATCCAGCAACGTGTGTCACTGACTTTCCGCCTTTAAGAGATGCTTAATACAATGTTGACTTCATTGTTGACTTTATCATTCCAAACAAGTCAGCATATTGCGTTAATCCTAAAGTCCATAAAAATGTTCATGAACAAGGGGAAGGATTACCTAAAAAGGAGTGGATAATGGAGAGTTTGAAGTATATTGGAGAAACAAGATATCTTCACCTCATAAATATATATGGCCACCATCAAAGTGATTGTTGGTGTACACGCATAGCAATTGATGCAGTCTCAAGAAGAGCGTTGATCTCTATGCTTAATTCAAAGCTAAACATGGAGTTGACTACGTTTCATGTAGTTTTGACATCAATAACTTCATATTGTAAGTTGAAGTTCGAGAGTCAACATAGAAAGATTAAATGGAGAAGGCTTGGTAGAAAATTGAAACTTAGAAAGTGGGATTTAGTTCGACCACATCCTAAGTTTTCTTACAACGTGAAGAAGCTCAATTATAAGCTAGCAAGATGTAATTTGAAACCCGGTGAGCATTGGGTACCTATTCTTTATTATAGCAAATCTTGCGCCATCTATGGAAGTTGTTAGACTCGAGGACGAGTCTTTTTCAACCAGGGAATGATGCAAGATCAAGAAAGCTAAAAATCCAAGAAATTCAAGAAGTCCAAGAATCCATACAAGATTAGGATTTCTTTTCCTTAAAGATTAGAATTTTGTATTTCTTGCTTCCTAGTAATTTAATTCTTGTTTTAGTAGATATTTGTAGTTCTAGTCAAACTGAGATTGCTAGTTGGTATCCCATTCTCACTAGAAATCTTTTTCCTATTTTAGTTAGGATAGGTTTTCTTAGCCTTATTCTTATTCTAGTTTAATTAGGATTAGTTTTCCTTAACCCTATCAATTTTACTCATTGTAAGGCCTATTTAAAGGGCTCAATATGCTGAAAATAATGATTGGTGATTAGTTTTTTTGAGCACTAGCTTCAAAAACGTGATTGACTCTTTTGTTTCCTCTTCTTCGCTTATTCAACACTTCTTGCAATCTTGTGGGACTGAGGAATGTGTGGATGATTTTTCTTTTCATCTTACATTCTTCTAGCGTAAGTTTGAAGAACGCTTTCGCTAGTTTTGTGAAAAACTTTAGCGGGGTGCTTTTGTTTTTCGCTCTTCTTTGTGCTTGAGAGGTGCAAAACCTTGAAAGTACATCATCTTGTATATTATTAACCTGCCAGTTTCAACAAGTGTCTCCACATTGAAATCTCCCATGCGCCTCCACGCGCCACCAGAAGAAGCTGCCCACTAACGTCACGTGCTGGCGCGTGAGCCCTCCGGAATTTTTTGTCAACTAGTTTTTTCTTCTTTGGGGCTCGCCACCTTCATCCGTACCTACCCAGACCAGTCTCAGATTTTTCGAACACTAGAAGTCAAGTCCGGCGTAACTAGTTAGGTCAAGCAGCCTTTTTTTCAAATTTCGAGGGTTGTTTTTCGGGCCACCAGGTTCTTTTAGCATTCATATTCTAGGATTTTGTGTGTGTTTCAGATTGTTCAAAAATATGGGGGACTCAAAAATATTAGATAACAATACTTCTGTAGACATTAATTTTGTTTCACATGGTATTTCACAAATTAATGTGGTAAAATTGGATGGTGCTGGTTCGTATCTTGCTTGGTCAAGGGCTTGTTTGTTGTTTATTAAATCCAGGAAAATGATTGGTTGTATTACTAGAGAAAAGAAACAACCTGTTGTGATTGAGACTATTTATAGTCAATAAGGCTCTTGTTATGACTTGGCTTTTGAATACTATGCACCCTCGAATTTCTAAACAATATTTGTTGCTTAACGCTGCTGAATAAATCTTGAGTTCATCCAAGCACACTTATTCTTGCAAGGGAATGATGCCCATATTTTTGAAATTTGAAAAAATATTCATGCGACTAAGCAAGGTGAGTTGACTATCACTGATTATTTTTTTCGAGTTAAGCGGGCCATGGCAAGAAATTGGCTACTATAGGATCTCCAAGCAAAGTGTACTGATGATGCAGTTCTTTTTCAACGATTGGTTGAAAAGGAAAGGGTCTATGATTTTCTGATCAGTTTGATCCAAGAATATAATCAGATCAGGGTTCAAGTTCTCAAGTTCTCGGTAAAGTTCCTTTTCCTTCTCTTGAGGATGCATACTATTATGTTCAACAGGAAGAAGCCGACGAGGGGTAATGCTTTATTCAACATCAATGGAGAAGTCCGGGTTAGCTGTGTCTCATGAACAACCAAAGGCGTTAACTTATGATAAAATCACATGCATTGTGATTACTGGGGAAAGCCAAGGCATACAAAGGAGACATGTCGGAAACTGTAGACCGACTAGAGGCCGTGGAGGAAAACATGTAGGTCTATCAAGGGTTCAAGCTAATATTACAGAAAATATTGAGACATTCGGGGAAACTGCTACTGGAGAAGCTTTTTCTTCGAATGAAGTTCAGCATCTTCGCCGTCTCCTGAACAAACTTGATTCTTTTAATGTTGCCACTTCCAATTACATGCAGGTATTTCCTTTAATGCTCACCTTAATTCTTAGATTATTGATTCTGGTGTGACTAGACACATGACTGGCTCCTCCAATGGCTCCCTAACTCTTGTCTCTGGAACATGTTCTGTTGTTTGTACACATGATATTACATTATCGTCCGTTCTCTATGTACCTGAGTTTCCTGTTAACATGTTATCTGTTAGCGCCATCACCAAAAGACTAAACTGTAGTGTCGAGTTCTTTCCTGGTCATTGTGTTTTTCAAGATCTTCAAACAAGGAAGAGGATAAGCAGTGGTAGATTGCATGATGACTTATATTGGATTGATGGAACTGGACACTCTGGTTAGGCGTTTTTTTTTTGGAGGAAATAAGGATGCCAATCATGAAATAATACAGTGACATAGACGGTTGGGGCACCCATCATTTTTTGCTTTAAAGAAGTTATATCCTAGTTTGTTTTCCAGAACCGAGTTTGAATCTTTGTTTGTGATGCTTGTGAATTTGCCAAGCATACTAGAAATTCTTATCCTTTTAGTAATAATAAATACAACTCCTTTTCGACTATTCATTCTGATGTATGAGGTCCTACTCAAACAGTTTCTTTATCTGATAGTAGATGGTTTGTTACTTTTATTGATTGTTACTAGAATGACCTGAGTGTATTTGTTAAAGGCCACAACTGATGTTTTCTCCTGCTTTCCGTCATTTCATAAAATGATTTATGCTTAGTTTGAGTCTAAGATAAAAATCTAGCTAACTGACAATGGTACAAAATACATGGACAAAAATTTTGGTGCTTATTTGGTGTCTTATGGATAATCCATCAAATTAGTTGTCCTTATACTAGTGCACAAAATGGGGTTGCAAAAAGGAAAAATAGGCATTTGTTAGAAGTGGCAAGATCTCTTATGTTTACCATGAATCTACCAAAACCTTTCTGGGGGATGCCATTTTAGTAGCTGCCTATCTCATTAATAGAATGCCACTAGAAACCCTCAATTTTCAAACTCCTCTAGAAGCACTAAAGGGTAAGGATGATTATACTGTTCCTCCGAAGGTATTTGGGTGTGTGTGCTTTATTCACGCTAGGAACTCCAGGAAATTTGATCCTAGAGCTTTTAATTGTATCTTTATTGGGTATTCTCCAATACAGAAAAGGGTACAAGTGCTATTTTCTCCCTCTAGGAGAATCTTATCAGCATGGATGTTACCTTTTGAGAATCTGAGCCTATTTCAGTATTACATCATCACCTCTTTAGGGGGAGAGCTATAAAAGGGAAGAGATGATTCTCCACAAAGGAAAGTAAAATTGAAGACAGAATACAGAATACAGGGGGAGACTATTGGGCGTTTGGATAGACTTGATTTGAAAACTTACTCAAGGAGAAATAGAGCAGAAGAAGTCATCATGCAATCTGCCGAAGCTGAACCTTCTTCTATCGGTGAGCTATTTACATTTCCTAATAAATTAGATTTGCCAATTGCTCACCAAAATGGAGTTAGATCTTGTAATATCAAACATCCTTTATCTAATTTGTCTTCTATAATTCTTTGTCTCCTTTTTATAGAGCCTTTGCCTTGTTTATTTCTTCTGTGTCTATTCCCCAGAATTGGGGGGAAGCTTTTGCAGATCCTAAATGGAAGCAAGCTATGATTGAGGAAATGAATACCTTGTCATAAAATGAAACTTGAAAACTTGTCACTTCACCACCAGACAAGAAGTTGGTTGGCTGCAAATGGATTTTCACTGTGAAGCACAAAGCTGATGGCTCAATTGAAAAATTTGTGAGAATGCATGAGAGAAAAATCTATTATTGATATTCTATTAAGTGTTTTACAATAGCCCTATTTATATACATAATGCATATTCTACTCCTATTCTATGTAGGACTAGGGTTATTTACATAACTATCTAACCTCAAGCCGGTGCATATAAATCATATGTCCCGAGTTTGTTACATATGTAACTAATACGAGGACTAGTGAGCGACTTGGTGAAAATATCTGCAAGCTGATCATTCGACTTCACAAATTTTGTAGCGATATCTCCTGAGAGTATCTTTTCTCTAACGATGTGACAGTCAATCTTAATGTGTTTAGTTCTCTCATGGAACACCGCATTTGATGCAATATGAAGGGCAACTTGATTATCACATACAAGTTCCATCTTGCTGTCCTCACCAAATTTCAACTCCTTGAGCAAATGTTTGATTCAAACTAGCTCACAGGTTGCCAGAGCCATTGCTCGATATTCTGTTTCTACACTAGACCGAGCAATCACATTCTGTTTCTTACTCTTCCAAGATACCAAATTACCTCCTACTAAAACACAATATCCAGACGTAAAACGTCTATCAAAAGGTGATCTTGCCCAGTCAGTATCCAACAATTTGCTCATGGACTCGATCTTCAAACAATAATACTTTGTCTGGAGCTGATTTTATATATCGAAGAATGCGGACAACTGCATCCTAATGACTATCACCGGGAGAATCCATAAACTGACTCACCACATTCACAGGAAAGGAAATGTTAGGGCTAGTCACTGTGAGGTAATTTAATTTACCTCTCCAGGGACCCATCTAATTTAAATTTGATGGTGAACACCCATTGGCAGGCCACTGTTTTCTTTCACGTGGCAGTTCCACTATTTTTCATGTTTTATTTCTCTCAAGAGCGTTCATCTCCTCTAGAATTGCCTCCTTCCACTTGTGAACGTTCAAAGCATCCTGCGCATTTCTCGGTATCTCCATTCCAGATATCTGTGAAAGAAAAGCTATATAGGAAGGGTACAAGTTTCTATAAATGGCAAAGTGCAACCAGGTGCACAACGCATTCTGCGTTCACGTAAGGTCTGGGGAAAGGCCGCACCCCAAGGGGTGTAATGTAAACAGCCTACCCTAATACAAGCATTAGTGGCTGCTTCCACGACTCGAATCCTTGACCTATGTTTCACATGGAGGTAAAGTAACATGGAGATAACTTTACCGTTGCTCCAAGGATTCTCTTCAAAGGGGACAAGTTTCTATATGATACAAAATTTTACATGGGATGTTTGATGACTTTTCTTACCCTTTATGATTGGCAATCAGAAGGTCAATCTAAAGTATGAGGGGTTAAATTAGAGTTAGATTTTGGAGAATTACCTTGTATTTCAGTGAGATCTTGCAGGGCAGACATTTGGTTCTGATGAGAGTCCTTAATCTCTTTTTCTTGGTTCCGTTTTTTCCTCGAGTAAACCTGTAATTCCTTTGTTTGTTCCCAGTCCTTGTTATTAATTGTGTAATGAAAAGACTCTTATGGTCTCAGTTTGTTTGCTTTCATTATTTAAGTCACGATCTCTTACCTTATCTAGGTTGTTATTTTCTGTTTCATCACCATATGTACAATTTCCAGTGTCTATCACAAAACATAGATCATTTTGTTTCTCACATGTGAGGTCAAGAGGATCCCTATTATCGCTCGAATCTTCACTATGTTTCTTCCCTAGCAGATGAGGTCCAAAAAAACGACTGAGATTCGAAAAAAGGTGACATCCATTGTGACAATAATCTTCCTAATATTTGGGTCATAACAGTTGTATCCCTTCTGGCTAGGAGCATAGCCAACAAAAACACATTTTTTAGCACATGGATCAAGTTTACTCCTACTATGATCAAGAACATGAACAAATAAACTACACCCAAAGACTCTCAAAGATAGATCAATAGTCAATCTAGAAGTAGGAAAGTATATCTTGAACACGCTGAAAGGAGTTTTAGAACCTAGAACACGGGAATCCTATTAATAAGATAGGTGGCAGGAAAAAGAGCTTCTCCCTAAAGAAATGTAGGGACTCCACCTGTGAACATTAAAGCTCTAGTTACTTCAATAAGATGCCTACTTTTCTTCTTAGCTTCTCCATTTGTTGGGTGTATCAGGACAAGAACTTTGGTGCACAATTGTCTTAGAAGTGAAAAAATTGCCTAGCTGGTCATTAAAAAACACTCTCCCATTATCACTCTGAAGTATTTGAATCTTCTCATGAAATTGTGTCTCAACCATAACATAAAAGGCCTTGAACATATGTTTTACTTGCCCTTTATTTTGTTTTACTTGGGCAAAAGAACAAGTAGGAAGGGAAGGATTTTGTTTACTGGTTTGGAGTTGAGATTGGATAAGTTTGTGTAGTAGCTCTAATTGATCCTTGGTGAATGGTGGCATTTCTGGAGAAGTTTGCAACCTTTATTCTTCACTGGTAGTCTTAAAGGCTTGGCTACGATGGTTTTCTGCTCCTTTTTCTTCCAGTTAGGCAGTTTCCCATGGATTCTTCCAGTAGGTCTCACGAGTGTGCCAGTATATTTTTGCCAAAATCACACCAAGAATTCTTTTTCTTGTCATTTTCATTTTTCACAGCAACTAGAGCAGAGGAGACGCGTTGCGGGGTTAACGCTAGGCTGGAGGTGTGGAGATAGACCTTGAAGTCTTAAAGTTTCAAGTTGAGTAGGACGAAAATAGAATTCTTGGAGTGCAAGTTCAGTGTTGGGATGCATGAAGCAGAAGTGGACGTGAAACTTGATACACAAGTCATCCCCAAGAGAGATAATTTCAAATATCTTGGGTCTGTAATACAAGGTAATGGGGAGATTGACGAGTATGTTACACATCGTATTGGACCGGGGTGGATGAAATGGAGGCTCACATATGGTGTTTTGTGTGATAGGAATGTGCCACAAAGACTTAAGGGCAGGTTCTAGAGAGTGATAGTTAGACCGACTATGTTGTGTGGAGCTGGGTGTTAGCCAGTCAAGAAATCGCATGTCTAGAAGATAAAAGTAGCAGAAACGATGATATTGAGATGGATGTGTGGGCATACCAGGAAAGACAAAATTATAAATGAAGTTATTATGGATAAGGTGGGCGTGGCTCCTATGGAATACTAGTTGCGGGAATCAGGCTGAAATGGTTCGGGTATGTGAAGAGTAGAGACACAGATGCCTTGGTTAGGAGGTGTGGGAGGTTGACCATGGCGAGTAAGAGGAGGGGTGGGGGAAGTCTAAGAAGTACTGGGGAGAAGTGATTAGGCAGGACATGACACTACTTCAGCTTACCGAGAACATGACCCTCGATAGGGTGGAAGTCGAGAATTACGGTTGTAGGTTGACATGTAGTTGAGAGTTTCTCGTAGTATTACCAGTAGTATTAGTACTAGTCTTGTATTTTCCTATTCCTAGTTCCTTGTTACATGGTGGTGTCATTCTTACCAGTAGTATTGGCACTATTCTTGTATTTTTGTATTCCTAGATCTTTGTTATTACACGTTGTGCCATTTGTTTCGGTTGTCCTATTACCTTGTTGTTGCTATTGTTTGTTTATTGCTTCATTTTCACTATTCTTGAGCCGAAAGTCTATTGGAAACAGCCTCTCTACCTTCATAAGGTAGTAGTAAGGTCTGTATACACATTACCCTCCCCAGACCCCACTTGTGGGATTTCACGTGGGTTTGTTATTGTTGAGCAGAGGAGTCTATATTTTTCGTTTCCATATTGGAATTTGTCTTTAGCATAACATTTCTCCTTGTTTCTTCTCGCCTAAACTTAGAAAAAGTTTTCGCCTAAACTCAGAAAAAGTTTTCCTCAAAGTGGGCAGTGGGTGTTTTTCCAACGATTCACGAACGAAGTTCAGCAAATTCATGGTTCAATCTTGCTAGAAATTGGTATACTCTATCATTTTCTTCTTTTTTTCACTACTTTAATGCGATCCTTAGGACGCTCCCATTCACCATTATAGCATTGATCTAATTCTTGCCATATCGAAACCATCTTATTATAGTAAATCCTCTCTCCCCCTGTCTAGCTTTCCACAATTTGATTTTTAATTCAAAAATATGAGAAGCATTTTCTACATCAGAATATAGCCTGTTTGGTGAAGCTTCTAAATTCAGCTTACTTAAAAGTGTTTTTCTTAAAATTACTTTTCAAAAAAGTATTTTTGATGATAAACAGTTTGTGTTTAGCTAATTAATTTGAAAAGCACTTTTGGGCAGTAATTAGTGTTTGACCAAGCTTTTAAAAACTGTTTCTAAGTGTATTTTTCTTAAAAGTGCTTCTCAGAAAAGTGGTTTTGGAGAGACGCTACTTTTTTCTGCTTCTTAAAAACTGTTTCTGCTTCTCCTCAAAAGTACTTTTTTCCTTCTAAATGATTGGCCAAACACCTCAATTTTTGGAAAAAAACACTTTTGGCCAAAAAAAGCACTTTTGGCCCAAAAAAAGGCTTGGCCAAACAGGCTATAAGTCTCTCTAACAGCCTTCAGATATCCCTAGCAGTGAGTAGAAACAAATATCGTTTACTTATGGCATGTTCCGTGGAGTTTGGAGCCAAGCGATTACCATCGAGTTTTCTAATCTTCAAAGCGTTCATCGAGTTTTCTGGTCTCCTGGTTCAGGCTTTCTCGTCTCTCCCATTAAATGCCCAAGTTTCCCTCGACCATCCATTGCCAAACACACATATTACGCCGATTCCAAGTAATTCTTGCTTTTCAGCTTGTGAGAAGTAAGCTAAAAAGACAAATGAGAGGCGTCGCCACCTTGGTTCATAGTTGTTTTGGGGGGTGGGGGGGTGGGGGGACTAGACTTAACAGAACTTTTGTTGATGCCATTGGGTGACATTGCCTAATAAATGCCGTTTTAGTCATGAACAACACAAGAATAAACCTACTTTGATACTATGTAAATTTTGGTACCAAACTTGCTTAATTGTATTCATCTGCAGTGTTATCAAAGGCCCGCTTAAAGCGTGCTTAAACCTTGAAGCGAGACTCAAAACATGTTGAGCGCTTCGCCTCGCGTTGCTGGCGTTTTAATGTTGTCATAAAGACACTAAGACATACTTTTCCTCGCCAATAAGCGTAGCCCTGAAGAGGCGACCCTAGACAATTGATATTTCACTTTATCGTAAATTTTCTTTAATTTCTTTGTCCATATATTTGGTATTCATGCTTATAGATATTAGTCTTGGATTGCCCATGCATATTTCTAGCTTTTCTCCATTGTGCCTTTTTTCGTTAAAATCTGCGCTTTATTTGCGCTTTGCGCTTAAAACCCCAATAGACCTTAGAGGTTTTTTTTACGATTTTCACTTTGATAACACTGTTCATATGTATAGATACAAATTTATAGTACAAAGAAAAACAAACTAGGAAGCTGATCCCTTAACTCTGGGAGATCTGAGAATCAAGGGATGATTTCAGCTGATCTACAACAACAAAAAAACCCAGTGTAATCCCATAAATTGGGATGATTTCAGCTGATCTAATTTCCTAAATTACTTAACAGCCTAGTAAATCTGATTTTATCATTGCTATTTAGATTCTATAAATCAGATCTGATCATAATTAGATATTCACAAATCAACACTGTCAAATGATTCTAGAACTGGTTTCATCGCTCATGATTGTTCACTATTAGGGCGGTACTATTCGGGAGATGTGTACTATTCTAGTTTTTTCAGTAGTTCTTGTTTAAATAAGCAATAATTATTTGTTTCACTTCGTAGAGGTGAAGGACGTGTTGAAAGTTAATAAGACTAATAAGCATATTTCATAGAGAACTCTCAATAATTATGTTATTCTAGAGAATAATTAGCAATACTCTATAAATGTTCTTAATGATTACTCTCTGTCTCATTTTATGCGACATACGTCCTTCTAGCCTGTCCCAAAAAAGAGTGACATCTTTCTCTTTTAACTATTTAATTTATCCCTATTTACCCTTAATGACATGCCTGATTGTTAGAGACATAACCACTACTGAAATGACATGGCTTTGGTGAGTTAAGGTTCATGTTAGGGAAAGAAGAGTGAGGGAAAAGGGTGCTCTCTATTAAGGAGGATTCCCCGAAAACCTAAAATAGAGATAATCATAGAAAAACTCTCACTATCACCCATCAAAACATTTTTTTGGTACTTTGCATACATTTGGCATACATGTTACAAGTTTTCTTTAATTCCTTAAGCTCTTTGCCCAGTCAAACACCCTAACATAAAATGGGATGGAGGAGCATATCATTATTTAGAATTCCTGGAATTAGAAAACTTTCCTTGTTTTTTGTAGCTCAAAACTCACATAAAAAGAGCTCTCTTTTATTGTAACCATTTACCATTTATTCTCAGCATATTTTTCTCCTTTTCTTTTTTCTTTTTACAGTTTTACTAACAATCCCCTTCAAGCTGCCACTCTCTTAAACATGAACGTTGAGCCGAAGCTGTACTTGGAGGCTGAATGCTACGCTTAAAAACCCCAATGCATTGACAAGAAGAGTGTTATAAAAATATCGATTTTAAAATGGATGTTTTTTTCGGCACATATAAGTTTGGACTCAAGTGGAAATTATCATATTAACTATGAGTTGACAACCAGAGGTCTCACGTTTAAATTCCAGAGGAGGCAAAAACACTAGGTGATTTCTTGATTTCTTCCCATCTGTCCAGCCTTGGTGGATAGAGTTGATTGGTACCTGTTGCTGATGAGAGATAGCAGGTATTCTATGAAATTAGTCGAGGTGTTCGTGAGGTGGCCTGGACACCACGATTAACAAAAAACGAATTGTCATAGAGCACTAACACATATAGAGTTCAAAATAAGATAAGATCGGATGAAATGGTTTGTCTATGTCTTATATAGATGTTCAGATGCACTAGTTTGTGGGTACACTTGTTATCAGCTAGTTGGGATCAAGGTTTAGTTGCTGTTACATTTACATTAGGTCCCCAGGGGAAGAAGTGTGAGATTTAGAGAACCTCTAGCTTTACACAGCCATAATTTATTCTAAAATTCTTAGCGGAACATATAGAAGATTCATATTGTGAGCCTCACTAGTTTGGTATTATCATTGCTGGTTGATTGATTGGTTGTTTGGTTTATTTAAAGCTTTTGGTGCAAAAAGGCCAGCTAGCGCTGGGTTTAGTGCACTGTTTCTGTGTTTGATTAGATAGGCACTTCTTTAGTGAGTTTTTCTGTCCTGAGCAGATAATGCATGACCATCCTGATTCGTGGCCGTTCAAAGAACCTGTTGATGCACGGGATGTTCCCGATTATTATGACATCATCAAAGATCCAATAGGTAATTGATATTTGCTTTTTGTTTCTCTGGTAGTTGTTAATCATCTACTTGAAATTTATTTTTAATTTCCTCTTTCTTTTTTTAATTGGTTAATCATCTACTTGAAATTTATGCACCAAGCAGTTGCTACATGAATTAAAAGCTAAAGCTCTAATGAGCTCTCAAGATGGTCATCCACTTGAATTATTTCTTGTTTTTTCCACAAATAGTTTTCACGAACAAATGTTTCCAATCTGTAGTCGAGTTTGGCTTCCCTTTAGATCCTCTTCTTTTTGCCATATGATGCGCAGTGTGGGTCAGGTGCAGTTTCTCTCTCTCTCTCTCTCCCCTTTAGATCCTCTTCCCTCTCGTGTTTGTTGCAATTCTTCCAGGCCAATAGTTCTTAGGCGCGGACCTGACTGTTGTCCGCTTCATTTTAAATAGTACCAAAAGTATATTCGATTCATCGTTACCTACTTTACTATGTAATAAGTTGGTTATTGTTTCTTTTTCCCTCGATTTCGTCGGTTATATCTTGAAAGATGATATGTGTTATCACGTAATTCATTTTATTTCATCTCCCTTTTATCTTAAAAATATCTTACAATGCCATTATTCCTGTAACGCTCATGGGCATGGATTTTGATACACTTGGAGGTTGCATGGTTGATTCTGGATGAGTGCTGTTACTACTGAAGTAGCTTCTTCTTTCTGTTTTCTGTATAGAATGTAACTGTCTGTGTGGGTATTGTATTATGTATAGACCTTCCCTTTGTCCCCGTAAGCTACTGTATACTCAGCTTGCCAAAGAGCAACTTGATTTCTGCTACGCTTCACTTTAAAATGAACACACTTGGCAGCCTAAATAGAGCTTATATATTGTCATTGTTGGTGTCCCACATCGGCTATGGGTGAGGTGTTTGGTTTCTTTATATGGTATTGGACAATCCTCAACCCATGAGCTAGTTTTTGGGGTTGAGTTAAGTCCAAGGTCCATTTCTTTAACATGCTATTAGAGTCAGGCCCACCCAATTCTTATTTCATAGACAGAAGTTTATAGTTGTTCGTCGTGTAATTTGGATATTATTTACTGATTGAAACTTATTCTAGCACCTGCTGATCTTGATTGACTTCTTCTAGCCAAATATAGAATGCCCTTTCTTTTCGTCCTTTTTGTTGTTGCTAAAGCATGGACAGATACTTCAAAAGGTCTTACAATTGTGCATACACTCGGACAAATGTTATACATGCAATTGTGGCCAAATTTCTTTTCATTGTTTGATCACAGACTTGCATGTCATGAGGTTGATATTTCCAGTATAACTTTTCATTTTCAGCTATTTCTTTTCTTTCTTTGTACTTTACCATGTGAGAGGTAAGGCCAAATCATATTTTGGAACCTTTTAAGTAATAAATACGAAAGTTCGGCTACAGAGGGTAAAGAGGGGTGGACAGAGTTCTAATAATTCTTTTCCTAACATACAGGTCTGCGTGCGGCCCAATTTCTTTTTGTTTTGTTGTGGTTGTGGGTTGGTGAAATACAACATGTATGAAGATTCATGAATCGTTCCATTCATTTGGTTTGATTTGGTCTAATAGGCGTCTGATTGTGCCATGCAATCTTCTATTTGCTAAACTTTTAGGATGTGTATCATTTGCACGTCAAGATTAAATCTAACCGCTCATTCCCTCTGGACTCCTCTTTTAATTTCATTTATCATTAAGTTGTAACATTTTCTTCTGGTTATGTACAATGCAGATCTAAAAACAATGTCGAAGCGCGTTGAGTCGGAGTTATATTATGTGACATTTGATATGTTTGTTGCGGATGTCAGAAGGATGTTTGCTAATGCTCGCACCTACAATTCTCCGGAGACAATTTACTACAAATGTGCAACCAGGCAAGTATATTGCTCTTTAGTACTCCAGATGTCTTTTTTCACAGTTTGGTTTTTATTATTTTATGCATGTAGCAGTTTCAGCTATCAATTTTTATCCGCTTACAGGCTTGAGTCACATTTCTCAAACAAAGTTCAAGCTGGTCTACAGTCTGGTATCAAGATTCAATAGGAAGTTTCTTATTAGCAATTTAGTTTGATTCTGGTTGAACTGACTGCACTTGAATCTCTTCATATCTGATGTCTTATCGTATCCTCCAATATTTAGAATTTTTTTTTTCTGGGGGGGGGATATTATTGTAGAATTTGTAGAGCGAGTGGATGTATAATTGTTATTTTATTTTAATGTGAGCTTTTCAATGGATTTTATTTTGTAAGATGATATTTTTCGTATAGTTGGTATTGGGTAGACATCTCAAGTCCCAGTAACATAGCCTGATGCGTTATTTTAGAGAAAAATAAAATAAAAAATAGCCAGATTTACAACTGGTAATTGAAAATAGCTACTGTTTTAAAAGTAATCGAAATTTTGCCACTTTTTCATGTTAATAAAATTTGAACAAAAATACCCTTAAAAATCCGGAAATATTTCAGCATAACATGTTGGAGTCAAATTTTTACATATGGGATTCCAGCATAATGTGCTAGAATTTCATAATATGCTGGAAGTTTATACGTAGGAGTTTCATAATCCAACATATTATGCTGGAACTTTCTGTGTGCTGGAGTTCCAACATAATATAGTAGAAGTTTATAAGCAGGAGCTTCATAATCCAACATATTATGCTAGAACTTTTTGTGTTTCAGCAAAATAGTGATCATTTTTCAGTAACTTTGCAAACACCGACTATTTTTCAATTACTAGTCCGAAAACTAGCTAACGTGTGTTATTTTCACATTATTTTATCGTCTGGGCTTCGGGTGGTCAGTTCTTACTGCGGTTTTATCCTAGTGATTGGGGTTACTGCATGACTCTTATACGTAACCAAGGTAGTGTGTATTTTGTAATCAGACGCACATACTAGTCTTAACAAGCATGTTAAATTATGATAACGAATTAGAGATATACGACTTGTTTGGTTAGCACCATCGTATCCTAGTTGACTTTGAAACCGAAGAATCAGATATGCACTTCGCTCTTTAAGTTGAAAAATGAAAGGATAAATGATAGGTGTAAAAATGAAATCTGAATGTCCATTTAGTGTGGAAAGACGATATCTTTTAGTAATAGTTTTTCGGCACGTGAATGTCGAGTCATACAGTACACATTTTTAAAAAATATAAAACTAGAAATTATATTCAACGAATTGAAAGAATATCTTTCCTTTTACGGGGAGAAAATTGAATTCTTAGGATCAGCACATTCGTGTTTAAAGAATATGCACTTCGCTCTTTAAGTTGAAAAATGAAAGGATAAATGATGGGTGTAAAAATGAAACCTGAATGTCCATTTAGTGTGGAAAAACGATATCTTTTAGTAATAGTTTTTCGGCACGTGAATGTCGAGTCATACAGTACACATTTTTCTAAAATATAAACATACTGAAAATTATATTCAACGAATTGAAAGAATATCCTTCCTTTTATGGGGAGAAAGTTGAATTCTTAGGATAAGCACATTCGTGTTGTAATTTCTATATGACATTTCTCAAATACTCTACAAATTATTCTTGTATCGTTTCATAACCCATTTGAAGAGTCTAAGTTTCTAAGTAGCATAAGGCGTACATTTTCTTTCAAAACTAACATGTTCAAGGTAACATAAAATTATATCTAATTTCTTGCTGGTGTTTTAGACACAAGCGTACATATACAGGGCCTTGCTAATATACTACATGAAAATAGTATTAGCAATGTACCTATTTTCAGCATTTTCTAAATGCCCCTAATAACTTATTGCAAGGAGAGGTTTTTGGTCTTTTCAACCCAACCCCCCCCCCCCCCCCC